CAACCTGGAAGAAATGGACAAATTCTTAGAAAGGTATAACCTTCCAAGACTGAACCAGGTAGAAATAGAAAATATGAAGAGACAAATCACAAGTAATGAAATTGAAACTGTGATTAAAAATCTTCCAACAAACAAAAGTCTAGGACCAGATGGCTTCACAGGTGAATTCTACCAAACATTTCGAGAAGAACTACTGCCCATCCTTCTCAAGCTCTTCCAAAAAATTGCGGAGGAAGGAACACTCCCAAACTCATTCTATGAGGCCACCATCACCCTGATACCAAAATCAGACAAAGATACTACAAAAAAAGAAAATTACAGACCAATATCACTCGTGAACATAGATGCAAAAATCCTCAACAAAATACTAGCAAACAGAATCCAACAACACATTAAAAGGATCATACACCATGATCAAGTGGGATTTATCCCAGGGATGCAAGGATTCTTCAATATATGCAAATCAGTCAATGTGATACACCATATTAACACTGAAGGAGAAAAACCATATGATCATCTCAATAGATGGAGAAAAAGCTTTTGACACCCATTCCTGCCTGCTCCATAACTCTGGAGAGTTATGATAAAAACTCTCCAGAAAGTGGGCAAAGAGGGAACCTACCTCAACATAATGAAGGCCATATATGACAAACCCACAGCAAACAACATTCTCAATGGTGAAAAACTGAAAGCATTTCCTCTAAGATCAGGAACAAGACAAGGATGTCCACTCTCACCACTATTATTCAACATAGTTTTGGAAGTCCTAGCCATGGCAATCAGAGAAGAAAAAGAAATAAAAGGAACACAAATTGGAAAAGAAAAAGTAAAACTGTCACTGTTTGCAGATGACATGATACTATACATAGAGAATCCTAAAAATGCCACCAGAAAACTACTAGCGCTAATCAATGAATTTGGTAAAGTTGCAGGATACAAAATTAATACACAGAAATCTCTTGCATTCCTATACACTAATGATGAAAAATATGAAAGAGAAATTAAGGAAACACTCCCTTATACGACTGCAACAAAAAGAATAAAATACCTAGGAATAAACCTACCTAAGGAGGTAAAAGACCTGTACTCAGAAAACTATAAGACATTGATGAAAGAAATCAAAGATGACATAAACAGATGGAGAGATATACCACGTTCTTGGATTGGCAGAATCAAATTGTGAAAATGACTATACTACCCAAAGCAATCTACAGATTCAATGCATTCCCTATCAAATTACCAATGGCATTTTTTACAGAACTAGAACAAAAAATCTTAAAATTTGTATGGAGACTCAAAAGACCCTGAATAGCCAAAGCAGTCTTGAGGGAAAAAAACACAGCTGGAAGAATCAGACTCCCTGACTTCAGACTATACTACAACGCTACAGTAATCAAGACAATATGGTACTGGCACAAAAACAGAAACATAAATCAATGGAACAAGATAGCCCAGAGATAAACCCACACACCTATGGTCAATTAATCTATGACAAAGGAGGCAAGGATAAACAATGGAGAAAAGACAGTCTCTTCAATAAGGGGTGCTGGGAAAACTGGACAGCTACATGTAAAAGAATGAAATCAGAACACTCCCTAACACCATACACAAAAAGAACCTCAAAATGAATTCAAGACCTAAATGTAAGACCGGACACTATAAAACTCTTAGAGGAAAACATAGGAAGAACACTCTTTGACATAAATCACAGCAAGATCTTTTTTGACCCACCTCATAGAGTAATGGAAATAAAACCAAAAATAAACAAATGGGACCTAATGAAACTTAAAAGCTTTTGCACAGCAAAGGAAACCATAAACAAGACGGAAAAGACAACCCTCAGAATAGGAGAAAATATTTGCAAACAAATCAACAGACAAAGGATTAATCTCCCCAATATATAAACAGCTCATGCAGCTCAATATTAAAGAAACAAACAACCCAATCCAAAAATGGGCAGAAGACCTAAATAGACATTTCTCCAAAGAAGACATACAGATGGCCAAGAAGAACATGAAAAGCTTCTCAACATCACTAATTATTAGAGAAATGCAAATCAATACTACAATGAGGTATCACCTCACACCAGTTAGAATGGGCATCATCAGAAAATCTACAAACAACAAATGCTGGAGAGGGTGTGGAGAAAAGAAACCCTCTTGCACTGTTGGTGGGAATGTCAATTGATACAGCCACTATGGAGAACAGTATGGAGGTTCCTTAAAAATCTACAAATAGAATTGCCATATGATCCAGCAATTCCACTACTGGGCATATACCCAGAGAAAACCATAATTCAAAAAGACACATGCACCCCAATGTTCATTGCAGCACTATTTACAATAACCAGGACATGGAAGCAACCTAAATGCCCATCGACAGATGAATGGATAAAGTAGATGTGGTACATATATACAGTGGAATATTACTCAGCCATAAAAGGAACGAAATTGGGTCATTTGTTGAGACGTGGATGGATCTAGAGACTGTCATACAGAGTGAAGTAAGTCAGAAAGAGAAAAACAAATATCGTATATTAACGCATGTAGGTGGAACCTAGAAAAATGGTACAGATGAACCGGTTTGCAGGGCAGAAGTTGAGACACAGATGTAGAGAACAAACGTATGGACATTAAGGGGGGAAGCCCCGGGGGTGGTTGTTGTTGGTGTGATGAATTGGGCGATTGGGATTGACATGTACACACTGATGTGTATAAAACTGATGACTAATAAGAACCTACTGTATAAAAAAATAAAATAAAATTTAAAAATTAAAGAAAAAATTTCAGAAAGAAAAAAAAAACCTCTCTACAAATATCTGATGAACAGAATCACAGTGAAACTATTTGCTTAAGCCTTCTAGTTTTCTAAGTGTTTTACCAGCCCATAAAAATAATAATTTACTGTGGAAACTTAGCCAACCATACTTTTATTTATTTATCAGCATAAATTACCAAGATGACCAAGCGTAAATGATTTCTTTGGGTATTTCTCAGAATTTAGCCACTATGTCCTCAAAATTATATAAATCTAACTCAATAAAATGACATGTTCTTACTACTCCTTGGGAAGATAATGATTTCATATAAGATCACAGATATTTTAGTTTGGTTTCAATCACAGAATGAATGGGTTTTCATGTTTTAAACGAAAGCCATCTCTTGCCAGTAGTATTTCAAGGAGTCATTTTGGAATTTTAGAACTTAGAGATGAATAAGAAGCCCTTGGGGAGCTAATCTAACCAAGCTGTTTTACACATGAGGTGTCTGAAGGCTGAAGTGCTCATGTGATTGGTTAGGGACCTTGGGCAAGTGGCCAGGTGACCACTAGCTTGTCTCTTTCACTTCATTAAATTGCCTTTGGAGTAATAAACTATTGGACTGAAGAGGTTTTAGAGATCATCTAATTCAACACCATCATTTTATAGAACTGAAAACTTAGACAGAATATGGTTTAAAAATGATAATATGCAAAAGCATCTTGCACAATATCTGGCGCATAGTAGAAATTCAATAAATATTAACTTCCTTTTTTGGCCCATGGTCCAGTTAGGAACCCAGATATTCTAACACCTACCTAACTGCTGTCATATATCTTTATTCTGAACAAAAAAGCCCAACTGACGATTGAATCTGATCTTACCTTTTATAAGCAGCATTATTTTATAAGGTAAGTATTTATGAACAATTTATTCTGAGCCCTGGAGTATATAATAAGTACTATTCGATTACTATTTTATTCATTGAGCCTATTAGAATTAATTCTTTAAAAATACGAACTACATTTTAAAATATGAGTAGAGGGACTTCCCTGGTGGCGCAGTGGTTAAGAATCCGCCTGCCAATGCAGAGGACACAGGTTCGAGCCCTGGTCCAGGAAGATCCCACATGCCGTGGAGCAGCTAAGCCCGTGCGCCACAACGACGGAGCCTGCGCTCTAGAGCCCATGAGCCACAATTACTGAGTTTGCGTGCCACAACTACTGAAGTCTGCGCCCCTAGAGCCCTGTGCTCCGCAACAAGAGAAGCCACCGCAGTGAGAAGCCCACGCAATGCAACGAAGAGCAGCCCCCACTCACCACAACTAAAGAAAGCCCGCGCACAGCAACGAAGACACAACGCAGCCAAATTAATTAATTAAATTAAAAAAATAAAAATAAAATAAAATATGAGTAGATTAACATTTTCTTAATAATTGGGCAGAATATTACTAAATGAACTTTCCAAAATACCCTTTTTCACAAAGAAAAGAGATGAGGAGAAAGAGTACCTCCTTTCCACAACAGTTACATCGCTTTGCCTGCTCCTAACACATAGCTCAAACTGATGCTGGAACAAGAAAGCACAGAGTACTGGTTTAGGAGTCATAAGATATATGTTCTGGTCCTGGCTCTGCCACTCACTGATGGATGACCATGGGCAAGTCTCACTGATTCATGATTTCTACACCTGTAAAGTGGCCATACATAAGCTTGCCTTTATAGGACCGTTCTAAGGCTCAAATGAAGATTATCTATCTATCCATCTATCTATCTATCTATCTATCTATCTATCTATCTATCTACCTACCTACCTACCTACCTATCTATCTATCTATCTATCGGGTCCTACATGTACAGAATATTCCATGGTATAGTGAAAAACAATATAGAATATTCAGGAAATCTGGGTACCGGTCTGGGTCAGCTCATCACTGTCTTTCCATGATACCTTGAACAAGTGACTTTTTTTTTTTTTTTTAAATCTGCAAAATGCAAGGTTCAAATTAGATGGTGCTGCACAGGACCAATTTGGAAAAAGGGAAGTGAGGCAAAGTAGCCTTGCTTTGAACAATTTTCTTAGGTTTTCAAGTATTATACCATTTGAAGAATGGGTTTTGCCAAAAATACTTAAAAGCTTGACAATGTTATATCAGTTCTTTGCCATCTGTTTGCAACAGGAAATGAAATAATAGGTACATTTTCAGCAAATTATTTCAAAAAAGAAAAAATGTTTTTTTTACCTTGCATCCTTCACAAGCATGAACTCCATAGTGGAACCCTGAAGCTTTATCCCCACAGACACGGCATTCAATTGCCATGAGGGAGTTGGAAGGCTCTTCGTGAGGCTTATTGTACAGCTGAGTCTTTTCAGAATAGTAAGGTGGGGATGCAGGCTCCACTTTGATTGCACCTGTGTATAGAAAAACATGAGCAGGTAATTATCACGTGAAAAACAATGCTCGACAAGCAACAGGGAAGTCACTATAGTACACCTTGGTGCCATTATTTTATTATTTAAGTTAGATGCACTATGGAACGTGAAAAATACACAGGAAAAAGTAGGCTTTGTAATCACAGGCAAGTCGCAACACCTCTAGCCCCACCTGTGAAAAAAAATGGGGTTAACTTTGTGGTTAACTTTTAACTTTGTGGTTCTATGACCGTCCAATACCTCGTAATACTAAAGCTCTAACAGGCAACATATGGTATTTGAGATCCTTAAGGTTACTTCGCTACATAATGTGCTGTATTTGGCATTCGTGACAATATTAAATTATACATTTTAATTTAAGTGTTGCATTTTAGAAGTGTTTTAAAACCACTCTTGCAAAGGAAACAGAAGGAACATTGCCATGAAAAGGCATGGTAAGCCCAGCTTGAAGGTACATGAAAAATAAGAGAGCAGGTTCCCATCAATGTTGAGTCAGAAAAGATGGTTTGTAAAATGATCTCTGATAGAGAGAGGCCCTATGGAAAGCAAGCACTATCTTTCCGTTGGTCAGGATCAGGCCTGTTAAATTTTCATATCAGGCTCCAACTGAAAGCCACACATATAAATATAACCAAGTATATCATTTATCTTAAAAAAAAAAAAAAACTAGAACTACAGGAAGTTCTTACTTATTGTCAAGTAATGGCTGCAGTTACATGGTGGTGGCTCTGGAAAAACAGCATATCAGCAAAGAGATAAAAATCAAGGAAAGAGCATCAAAGAAATTTAATCTTGAAAAGTGCAGCTTTAGTTTTTCTCGAGTCTGATGGCTTGATGTGAATTGCGTTAATGGCATGGAGATTTATCAATAGCCTACAACGTCAACATTTAAATTTGTGCTGAAAAATAGGTTTCACTGGAAGCTGTTCAAACTGCAGAATTAGTAAAGATGCAACAGTGATTTAGAGATAAGTTATAAAAAGTGACAAAATGTTCCTTATCTACTTACAAGTGGAAAAAAGAATTCAAAGTGTGGGGGGGATGGACTCTTAGCCTGAGATGCACCTGGCAAGGTAATCAGGCTGGAAAATGTCCCTGAGAAGGGAAGAAAAAAAGAAAGAGAGAAGGGAAGCAGGCAGGAAGGGTGGGGGTGGGGGCGGAGAAAGATGATAGCGTGTTCACACACTACCTTCCTTTTTGGTCAATTATAAATGCCCACTATTTCATGGATCAATGGGTGAATAAATGAATGGCAAATGGCTTCACTATAGGCTTTAGTCTCTGGAGCATTTACCCCAGTGTGAGTGAGATATTAGTCCAATTCTAGTCTCAGTAGTCTGAAAAGTGAAATAAACCGCATACTTTGGTACTCTTGGAGTTTCAGGTCATACTTATAATCCGCAACCATTGGGTCAGCTCTTGGGAACGGAATGTCTTCATAGTGTGGAGCGGAAATGCTGGAGAAATCAACGGTGGTGAAGGGCTTGATGTCAAAGGAGTGGGAGTGGTCGTCCATCACAGAAAGATCCACGGAGCTGATCCCAAAGTTGGTGGGCCAAAACGGCATCTCTGTGTCCACCATGGTAATTTCTGAAATGGAGAAAAGAATAGCTATGATGTTACTCCTGGAGGACGGTGCCATCCTGTAAAGATCCACAGAAAGGGAACAGAAAGAGTCTTGGGTCAAGTGATGTCACCTAGGTGATCATGGGGAGAGCAGGGAACACAGCCACCTTCTTAGTGCCGTCCAGGCTGTTGAACTAATGGAGGGAAGTCACCCCTTATCTGTACGTCACAGTTGAGGACCCTCTAATAGTGTCACGTGTACGGCATACCCACATCAATGTCCTAGAAACAGCCCTGCTCTCTTCAGAGCAGGATGGCTTTCCTAAGGGTATCTGGGAATGGGCCTCTTGTTTTTTCCCAGCAAGCAGAGAGCTAAAGAATGTAGCTCTCAAAGGCTGACTCTTGCAAGAGGTTAAAGATTCCAGCTGTGGTCTTCATAAGAAAAACAAAGCGCCTTGAAAACACAAATAAGGAGACTAGGGCTGTGAATGTGCTTCAGTGGTTCCAAGAGGACGCATCAGGCACGGTTTGGGTTCACATGTCTGAATATCTACATGAATAAGTACCCAAACAACTTGAAGTTATCTGTGTTACAGTACAAACACTACACTGGTGATAGCTTAAAGGTCATACGGGGTCTCAATGACATCCAGAAAAAAGTGTGTGCTCCTAATGACAGGGGCAGCCATTGAACAAATTTCATCTAAACCTACCTAACCCACGTCACTCCATTTACTTTGCCCATCTCCTCAGCATGCTTATTTTCTATTTCATCATCCATTTTTCTTAGTATATATTACTTTCCTATCAAAATACACCTCTCTTGTCTCAACTGCAATATCCACAAAAGTAGGTTCATCAACTATTTCTCATCATGCCTATTGCAAAGTTCTTCTGTAGACAAAGTAAAGGTTGACTGAGTTAAAGTTAGTGTATATGCTTCTGTATGAATACTGGGAAATGAAAATAAGGATGCAAAAAACGTCTGGGTTGCAAGAAAAATTGTCTGCTCATCATTTTACTGGTTTATTTTTGTTTCACTTTTAACATATGACTTCAGTGACTGCCTGCCAACCAATGTCAGGCTTCTCAACACAGGAATCATATCCCTAGGGGTCATGTATTTTACTGAAAAGTTTCAGGGAAAATTTTAATGAGAAAATAGTTATTTATGTGTAAATAAACAGAGCAAAAAATTCACGTGATTTTAAAGATATACTATGAAACTCCTAAAAAAACTTTATACTTGTAGTACATTTCATGGCTAAAAGAACGCTATTTTTAAAAAAGAATAGACTATTTTAAAAAGCAGCTTTAGGTTTACTTAAAAATTGAGCAGAGGGCTTCCCTGGTGGCGCAGTGGTTGGGCGTCCGTCTGCCGATTCAGGGGGCACGCGTTCGTGCCCCGGTCCGGGAAGATCCCACATGCCACGGAGCGACTAGGCGTGTGGGCCATGGGCACTGGGCCTGCGCGTCCGGAGCCTGTGCTCCGCAGCGGGAGAGGCCACAACGGTGAGAGGCCCGCGTACCGCAAAAAAAAAAAAAGAAAAAAAAACAAAAAAAAAACATTGAGCAGAAACCACAAAGTTCTCATATACCCTTTTCCCTTTCTCCCTCCCCCGCAAACCCTGAAACACACAGTTTCCCCTATTATTAACGTGCATTTCCCCTATTATTAACACTCGTATTAGTGTGGTATGCTTGTTGACAAAACTGATGAACCAACAGTGATACGTTATGATGAACTAAAACGCACAGTTTACAGTAGAATCCACTCTGTGTTGTTCATTCTATGGTTTTGACAAATGCGTAATGTCAAGTATCCACCATCACAGTAGCCCACAGGATGGTTTCACTGCTCTAAACACCCGCCGTGCTCTACCTATTCATCCCTCCCCTCCTCCCCCGAGAACGCTGACCTTGTTGTCCTCTTCTACTAAGGGCAATTTTTGGTGGAAAAGCAGGGGAAGCACTGACCTACATCATAAATTGAAAAGTCTCTGCGTGGCATTCAAGGCCCTCCCTGACAGTCTGCCTTACTTTTTCAGTGTCATTTTCCACTCGGGATCCCAGACCTCACCCGCATTCTCATCAGTGCTGTGCTTGGGCGCATCACACGGTGTGCCCAGGGCAGACACTCTGCACCGTCTAGTCCGCTCATGGCTGTTCATGCTGCTTCCTGAAGCTGTTCACCCTCCTCCTGTCCCTCAGCACCACCCGTCAAAACTCCCGTCTGTCTTTCCCACGGTAGCGGGGAATCCCACACTGGTCCAAATGCTACTCTCTCCATGAAACCTTCCACGAATTCTCCAACTTAAAAACACTCTCCATTCTCCGTGTTCCCACAGCACTGAGTACCTCTCTTTCCCTCTGGTATAATTATTTGGATAAGTATCTCCGCTGTTAGATTTCCAGTTCTGGAGCAAAGGACAGGGTCTTATTATTCTGTTTTCCTTTTAGACCTTATGCGTAGTTGTTGTTTACTAAACGCTTGCCAACTGAATGATCATATTTTATAGGGAAGGAAAGAACAAGTATTCATTTTTCTGTGAAAATGGAAAAAATAAAGATACTTTCTCAGTGGTTTAGTTTTGCTAAGACTTAAGCTCCCCAGAAAAGATGTAATCTTCAATATCATAAATAAAATACAGTTTAAGATGTAACTCCTCCTCTCAACAACGTATACTCAGTTTTTCCCTTCTGATAATTGCAGGAGGAAGATTAGGGTACTGTAAACTTTTTCTCTACATAGAAAGGACAAAGGAAGAAAGAAAAACCGTTTGCCTCTTCATCTCTATGAAAACAAATCATCCCAGTACACACTTTCCTTCCCCTCTTTCCCTTCTCCTTGTCCTCTTACTCTGGGGCATCTTGACCTAAACAATATTACTCCACAGGGGCCGTGGTTACTGGGAGGCACAGTGGTTCCCTAGACATTTTATTTTGACTTAAAGATGGGGTCCAGGGAGCCTGCTTCTAATTTTGTCTCCAGAAAACATAAGCTACTGTTTCTGCCAAGCTGTAAGTTGAGTAGGTGTTTTTCGTGACTCCATGCAATTACTCATGAAAGAACAAATGAACAAAACGCTTGCATGGACGACAGTCCTTCTCAGGGATAAGTAACAATGTCTTAACTTTCCAGCTGGGTGAGAGAAGTGCATTACATCAGGCACATCATTAATTTCACAGCCTTTGGTGTGTTTCAAGCAGGCAGGAGTCTTGAGGCAGACACTGTGGGGAAGGACGTAGTCGTGTGCCATTTACCTCAGACCTTCACCTTGGCTTTAAACTCTACGATACTCAATGAGCAGACTTCACAACACGCCAAAGTATAATGTAGTTCAAACAAAAAGACATATCATGCAAAAACACAGCAACTTCTCTCATCTGAGAGGCATCATTATTCGGGAGTATGGAAGCGGGTCAGAAAAGATGTTAAATGATAAAAATCAAGCACTAGAACTCTACAGTTTACCTTCGGGGTTCTACGTTGTCCCTTATGAAATGAAAAGAAAAACTTCTACTAGAATGTCTAGGGAAATGCTGCACCTCCTTAATAATGACATTAGCTAATATTAATAGAACCCTAAATCTCTGCTAAGTATTATACCAAATACAACGCTTGGACTGTCTCACTGAATGCTCACAACGGCCCCATGAGGTAGGTACACTTATAAATCCCCTTAAAGGACAGGAAACTGAGGCACAGTTATGGAAATAACTTGCCTAAAACCACCCAGCTACTAAGGAGTCCAGCTAGGTTATGAACCCAGATGGTCTAAAACTCCACAGCCCGCACACGTGACTTCCTAAACTTAATACTGATTAGAAAAACAAATCTCTTCCTGATCTTCTAGTTCTATATTAAATAACAATTAATGTCGACGAAGCTTCGCTGAACACCTATGATGTGCCAGGTACAGGGGGCTGGGGATGCACTATGAAGGGTAATTTTCAAATGGAAGCTTCATTGGAGAAACATGTTAAGCTGAACAAGAGTGGGTGCAGGAAAGAGCCTTTCCTACATGTCTAAAACTTAGTAGCCCTGTTGGAAGTGACCTTAGAAAGACACTTAATCACCAATCATTTTCAATCTCTTCTCATTTGTTTCAGTTCAAGGTCATGGTACTCATAAATATTATTCATCCAGCCCCTCCTTATTGATCTATTCAAATCACTTTGCAGTGTGAACTGACCTGTGAATTTCCTAATTCCTCTCCCGTTACAAGAGCCGATATCCAGAGACAAAAATCACTCTGAAATGTCAGAGCAGAAAGGGTGTTTTGGAGATAATCTAAGCTCCCCATCTGGCAGTTGAAGAAAACCAGGCAAAGTGATGTGCTCAGGAGCTCAGGGGAAGAGGCCGAGTCCACGAGAGTCCAGGTTCTCTGTCTCCTACCCCTAGCATCCTCCGCACTGCATTACGAAGTCGTTACCATGTGTAAATACGTTGAAAAGGGGACTTTTTAATCTATACCAATTTTCACAGATCCAGACTTTTCGGTCTTAACTAACACACAGGAATGACATCAAATTTATGAAGGAAAAATGTCTCATGCAAGGAGCCATTTACTGGTTGACAAATTAGAATAAAGAAATTGGTAGTAGAATTTGTTTCTAACAAAAGTAATAAACTCCGAATTCATCAAAAGGTTTAGGGAACAGTCTCATAAAGTGAGCATCGTATCCGTCCAGGTCTTTACGTAATAAATACAGATGTATGTATTTTATTTGTTTGTTTGTTCGTTGCAGGTTGCTGTTCTGAACATTAACAACTGAAGATGGAGAGCTAGTAGCGAGTTAGAAGCCCTGGGTTTGAATCCTGACCTCTTTCTTGTCAATTTTGTGATCTCTTTATCCCTAATTATCCCCATCTGTAAATAATCATACTGCCGACCTCACAGAGTTGCTGTGAAGATTCAGTTAAATAATACATGTAAAGCATCCAGCATAGGGCCAGAAAGTAAGTTCTCCATAAATGTAATTATTGGTAGTAGTGGTAACTTTTGTCACCAGAGTAACCA